TTGATTTTCATCAGTAAGTATTTTAAGTCCTCTTTGCTTTCAGCAAGCAAAATTGTATCATCTGCATTTTCACAGATTATTAATGAGACTTCCTCCAATCTTGATACCATGCTTTTCTTCAAATGATCCAGCTTCTCAGATTATTTGCTCAGTATACAGATTGAGTAAGTATGGTAAAAGAATACATTCCTGGTGCACATCTTTCCTGATTTTAACCCATTTGGTATCCTCTTGTTGTGTACAAAGAACTACCTCTTTGTCTGTGTACAAGTTCCTCATAAGCACTATCAAATGTAATGGAAAACCATTGTAACCATGGCAATGAAATGATATACGATAGGATGAATGTAAAACTAATGTTCTCCCATGTACCCTATCACATAATTCACAATAAAACAATTTTTTTAAATGTAATGGAAACCTCATTCTTTGCAATGTTATTTATACCTTGTCATGATCCACACAGTCAAAAGCTTTTGCATAGGAATAAAGCATAAATAAACATCTTCCAGGTATTCTCTGCTTTCAGCTATGATGTTAGCAATGATGTCTCTAGTTCCACATCCTCTTTTGAATCCAGCTTGTGCTCCAAGCAGTTTCCTGTCGATGAACTGTTGCAGTGGTTTTTTGAATTAGCTTTAGCAAAACTTTACTTACCTGTGATATTAATAACATTGTTCGATGATTTCCACTTTCCACTGGGTCACCTTTTCTGGGAATGGGCACAAATATGGAGCTAGTCCATCTATTCCAATTTCTTGGCATAGATGAGTAAGCGCCTCCAGTGCTGCATCAATTCGTTGAAAGATTTCCATTTGTATTATGTCAATTCCTGGTGCCAATGCCTTCAGTGCAGCTTAGACTTCTGTAGTGCCATTGGTTCTTGAGCATGTGCTACCTCTTGAAATGGTTGAATATCAATTATTTCTTTTTGATACAATGAATCTGTATATTCTTCATTTTTTGATGCGTTTTGCATCATTTAATGATTTGCCCATGGAATCCTTCAATATTGCAAGACTTGAAGTTTTTCTTCAGTTCTTTCAGCATGCAAAATGCCAACTGTGTTGTTCCCTTATGTTTTTCTAACTCCAGGTTTCTGCAAAATTCATTATAATACTTGACTTTGTCTACTAGAGCTGCCCTTTGGAATTTTCTGTCGAGCTGTGACTTCCTCATTTCTTCCATTTTCCATCTCTATGTTGAAAAGCAAGTTTCAGAGTCTCTTCTGATATCCATTTTGGTCTTTCCTTTCTCTCCTATATTTTATATAACCTTGAGCTTTATTACTGCATTATGTTCTTGATGTCATACCATAATTCATCCAGTCTTTGGTCATTAGTGTCTAACACATTAACTCTGTTCTTGAGCTGTCTCTAATTTTAGATGGGATGTGATCCAGGTTAAAGTCATATTTTGGCTCTCATGGATTTGTTTTAATTTTCTTCAGCTTCATAGGAGCAGTTGATGGTCTCATGGATTTGTTTTAATTTCCTTCAACTTTCATTGGAGCAATTGATGGTCTGCTCGACAGTCAGCTCCTGGCCTTGTTTAGATTGATGACATTGAGTTTTTTCATTCTCTTCCCACAGATTTAGTCAATTTAATTCCTGTATATTCCACCTGGTGAGGTCCATGTGTTGTTGAGAAAAGGTATTTGCAATGAGTCATTGATCTTGCAAAATTCTATCATGCAATCCATAAAATCGTTTATATCACCAAAGCTGTATTTTCCAACTACAGACCCTTCCTCTTTGTTTCCAACCTCTGCATTCCAATCACCAGTAATTACCAATACAACTTGATTGCGAGTTAGATTAATTTCAGACTGAAAAAGTTGGTAGAATTCTTCAATTTCATCATCACTGGCTATAGTGGGTACTGTGTAAATCCTTGTAGGCAGATGGATATTATACTACCACAGACAGTAGTGTACTTTAAGACAGATCTTGAAATGTTCATTTTGATAATGAATGTGACACCACGCCTCTGTAATTTGTCATTCCCAGCATAGAAAACCATATGATTTTCAGATTCTAATTGGTCAATACCAGTCCATTTCAGTTCACTAATGCCTAGGATATCAATCTTTATACGTTCCATTTAATTTTTGACAACTTTCAATTTTCCAAGATTCATACTTTGTACATTCCATGTTCTGATTATTAATTGATAGTTGCAGATATTTCCTTAATTTTGAGTTGTGCCTCATCAGCAAATGAAGGTCCCCAAAGCTTTACTCCAAGGAGCTCTGGTAGCATAGTGGTTACGAGTCAGGCTGCTAACCTCAAGGTCAGCAGTTTGAAACTACTAGCAGTTCCGCGGGAGAAAGATGAGGCTTTCTGCTCCTGTAAAGATTTACAGCCTCAGAAACCCTGTACAGGGCTGCTGTGAGTTGGAACCGACGCCAAGGCATACCGCCACAACCACCACCACCACCACCAAAGCTTTACTCCATTCATATCATCACAGTCAACTCCATTTTGTCTGGGTGGTGGTGTTGTTAAATGCCGTCAAGTCATTTCAAATTCATAGCAATCCTGTATAGGGTTTCCTAGGAGAGGATGGTAAGCTTGATCCTCCAACCTTGTTGTTCAAACTGCCCGTGCAGTCTAGCATTAACCCACAGCATCATACCAGTAATCCTTTTCTGGGTTGTTGTTGTTGTTGTTAAGTGCCATCAAGTTGGTTCTAACCCATAGGGACCCTGTATAGGGTTTCCAAGGAGCAACTGGTGAGCTTGAACTGCCGACCTTGCAGTTCAAACAGCTTTTCTGGGTAGGGCCATGCAAATAGCGTGCATGGATCTCTTAACGTGGTAATTGGTCAGTTTTGCCATCTTGATGGATTTAAACTGAGTCATCTTAGAATCAGAAAAGGATTTCACTATCATCAAGAAAAGGCTAGGCATGGAGTGTGTCCTTTGGACCAAGATCACTGTGTACTCAAACTCCTTCATTCCAGGACACAGAAAGCAGTTATACCAGAGGTGTGGCAGAAAAGCAAAAGGAGCTATGGCAGCAGAACCAAGAGCAGAAGATACAGTCCACAAACTGAGAAAGCCACTAGGCTTTATAGTGTCTTCAGGCAGAAAGCTTACTTGTGGAGTGGGTGCCTCCAGTCACTTAATCAGAAATGCTGTGTTTACTGACCCAAGGAGGTTGACTTGAGAGCTTTCAGGCTGAGGCAGTGCTTAAAGAACACTGCCCCAGTAGGGTAGAGACCAAGGAGCCACATGACTGAGAGGCCAATAACCAGAGAAAGGTGTATCTTTGGGCCTGAGAAGACGTACTTTTCAGCATTTCATATCCTGAATTGTACCCGGTTTACTTCCCTTAAAGTGGTATTCATGAGCCATAAAATCACAAGAAATGCATTCCTGGCTTCATTAAAGCATATGACTTCTCAATTGAATTGACCTGCACTTATAAATCTGTCTACATTGATATTAAACAATGTCAGTGAGCTGCACCTTTTCATCCTGTATTGCATTTGACGCTGTGTGCCATCATGTGGGTTCTGATTCATAGCGACCCTGTATAGGGTTTCCGAGGTTGTAAACCTTTACGGGAGCAGAAAGGCTCATCTTTCTCCTGCAGAGCAGCTGGTGGATTTGAACTGCTGACCTTGTGGTTAGCAGCCTAATGTGTAACCCACTATGCTACAGGGTTCGTTTGAATAGCATTTTGCATTATGCAAATTATAATATACATATGACATTTCAAAAATTGTGTTTTTGCACAAAGTCACAAAGCATTAACAGTATGTTCGTGGTGTGTGTAGGGGGGTGGTGGGAGCGGGACTGGGGAGAGGGAAATTCTAGTTACTTGAAGATATGAAAATGGGTAAGAAATCAACCAAAAGTTCCTAAACATTTCCCAGGCTCACTTCACACCACTACACCACAAGAGGAGTCCTGGTGTGGCGCAGTGAGTTAATGTGCTGGTAATGTGCTGGATTGCAGTTAGTTTGATCCTTAAGGTCGGTGATTCAAGCTCACGAGTCACACCTTGAAAACCCTACATACGGTTGCTACGGGTCGGAACCGACTTGATAGCACTTGGCAATAGCAACACACACAAAGGATGTGTAGGATAGATGACTGCATCTTGAATAATCTCTCAACTGTACTGAATTGTAAACTTTGATTAGTATAATTAAATGCCTAACAATCTTATTTTCTAGACTTCTATAGACTATAACCGCTTGAAAAGTCACAATTAACTCTATGATTGTTTATCTTTTCAACATGTCAACCACATGTCTTCTGAAAAATAAACTTCCTATTTTTTAAACTGCAAACTGTCACTTGGAGAGAAACATAATATGGTCAGTCTTTTAGTTTTTCTGCTTTAATTCACAATTATAATCTTTCACATCACTATACTGCATATTATCTAGGAAGGATGATATAATTGAAAGACCATTGGACTAGAAATAACAAGTCTCACCACACTATGGTGGCACTATAAAATAAGCACTGGACTGTTCATTGCAAGGTTGCTGGTTCATATGTACCAGCCGCTCCTCTGAAACTCTACAGAGGATCGCTATGAGTTAAAAATGAGTTGAGAACACTGTATCACCACCACCACGACCACACTCTTGTTTAGGTATGGCTCTGCCACTTACCAAGCCATGTGACTTTCAACAAATTATTGAATCTGTGTGAGTTACACTGATCGTATTAGGTTGCTAATACTATCTACCCTATTACCTTGTGAATTATAAGGATAAAATGAAATAATATACTTGAAAGAGCTATGTAAACCTCAAGGCATTAATGAGGTGGTTGTTGCTGTTATCATTATTTCTGTTGTTAACAAACAGAGAAAACAAAGTTACATTGAAAAACAGGTAAAACCAGCATACTAATATGACTTACAATAATCAAGATTGTAGTAATCAAGGTCATATAAATCCTTTTGATTGGCTTCTTCTAAAAAAGTGTGACTAAAAAGTCATTAACTTAATTTGTCCTAAATAAATATTTTTCATACCTGGCATAGCAAAACACTTCTATATGTTGAATGGTTCTGTCTTTCCTGCTAAGAACAATGGCTTCTTCACTTTCAAGAATCCGTTCTTGCCATGCTGGACTTTCATTCAAGGTGTCAGTGCTTTCCTAAATAAAACACAGATGAGAATTTTAATTAAAGTAATCTGAACCTGTACTTTTTGGAGAACATTTTTATCCTGCCTAAGCGAAACTACGAGCTGTTCCGTGGCAGAAAGATGAGGCTTTCGGCTCCCGTAAAGATGTACAGCCTCAGAAACCTGTGCAGGGTCGCTATGAGTCAGAACCAACTCCATGGCACATACCCAGCAACCACAAAACTCAAGTTTGTTTTTAATTTCATCAACACTCAAAGACGGACAGCACTACAGTAAGTCTAGCAAAGAATGTCAGCTTCAAAGAAAGGAAGAGAAAAACAATGTGTAAAAATCGATCCCATCAAAAACCACCTGTGGTTTGCAGGTTTCAAACAGGAAATGAGACACTCTCATAGTTATATAGATGTGTGTTTTGACATGGCATAAACATTGTGCACAACGGACAACTAACCCTATATATGCTGAAAATCAATGATATTATATATATATCGCTTGCTGTGGGATACAGTAAATGTATTTGTTATGACTCTTCTATCCAGTCTTTGTTCCTCACCTCAAATGATACAGTGGGACTGTGCAAATAAGGCATCGTTGTTAAATGCAGTCGTGTTGGTTCTGACCCATAGTGAACCTGCATAGGGTTTCCAAGGAGTGGCTAGTGAGCCTGAACTGCCAATCTTGCGGTTAAAACCAACTTTGCAGTCTACTAGTACATAACAACATCAAGCTGGGGGAACTGAATAATAAATTCAAGCCTTGGGTTTCGTTATTGAAGGATTCTCTGGGCAAATTATTGAATGATGCAGAAAGCATCAGAAGAACATAGAAGGAATACACAGAATCACTGTACCAAAAGGAAATGGTTGAGGTTCAACCATTTCAAGAGGTAGCATATGATCAAGAGCCGATGATACTGAAGGACGAAGTCCAAGGTGCATTGAAGGAATTGGCAAAGAACAAGGCACCAGGAACTGATGGAATAAAAACTGAAATCTTTCAAGAAAGTGAGGCAGCACTGGAGGCACTCACTCATCTATGACAAGAAATCTGGAAGACAACAATCTGGCCGGCTGATTGAAAGAGATCCGTATTTGTGAACATTCCTAAGAGAGGTGACCCAATGGAATGCAGAAATATCGGACATTATCTTTGATATCCCATGCAAGTAAAGTTTTACTGAAGGTAATACAGAAATGGCTGCAAGCATAAATTGACAGAGAACTTCCTGAGGTTCAAGATAGATTCAAAAGAGGCCTTGGAATAAAGGATATCATTGATGATGTCCAATGGATCTTGGCTGAAAGCAGAGAATACCAGAAAGATGCTTACCTGTGCTTTATTGACTACGCAAAGGTTTTCAATTGTGTGGATCATGACAAACTATGGACAACATTGTGAAGTATGAGTATTCCAGAACACTTAATTGTGCTCATGAGGAATTTGTACATGGACCAAGAGGCAGTTGTTCGAACAGAACATGGAACACTTAATGGTTTAAAATTAAGAAAGGTGTGCAACAGGATTGTATTCTTTCACCATAATTATTCAACCTGCATGCTGAGCAAATAATCCGAGAAGCTGGGTTCTATGAAGAAAAACGTGCCACCAGGATTGGAGGAAGACTCATTAACAACCTGTGATATGCAGGTTATACAACCTTGCTTGCTGAAAGTGAAGAGGACTTAAAACATTTACTGATGAAGATCAAAGAGCACAGCCTTCGGTATGGATTGAATCTCAATGTAAAGAAAACAAAAATCCTCACCAGTGGACAAATAAACAACATTGCTATCAATGGAGAAAAGATTGAAATTGTCAAGGACTTCATTCTTCTTAGTTCAACCATCAACACTCATGGAAGCAGCAGTCAAGAAATCAAATGACATATTGCATTAAGCAAATCTGCTGCGCAAGATCTTTTTAAAGTGTTGAAGAGTAAAGATGTCAGCTTGAAAACTAAGGGTGCGCCTGATCCAAGCCATGATATTTTCAATAACCTCATATGCATGCGAAAGCTGGACACTGAATAAGGAAGACTATAGAAGAATTGATGCCTTTGAGTTATGGTGTTGGAGGGGAATATTGAAAAGTGCCATGGGCTGCCAAAAGAACCAACAGATCTGAGTTGGAAGAAGTGCAGCCAGCCAGAGTGTTCCTTGGAGGCCAGGATGGCCAAACTTTATCTCTCATACTTCAGACATTATTTTCAGGAGGGACCAGTTGCTGAAGAAGGATATCATGTTTGGTAAGGAGGAGGGTCAGCGAAAAACAGGAAGACCCCCAATGAGATGGATTGGCAAAGTCACAACATCAATGGGCTCAAGCGTGGCAATAATTGTGAGGTTGGCCCAGGACCCGGCAGCATTTCCTTCTGTAGTAAATAGGGTCACTATGAGTCAGTACCGACTTAATGGCACCTAATAACAACAATAGTGCATAAACCCACAGCACTACAGGACTCTAATGTGGGGACTGATTAGTTTTACCATTAGCTAGAAGCAATGAGTGAAATCAAGGTGGCCCAGCCCAGAGAGGTCTACCAGCAACAGCAATATGGCTCTGGTGGTCTTGGAAACCGCAACCAAGGGAACCGAGGCAGTGGTGGCGGTGGTAGAAGTGGAGGTCAGGGTAGTACAAATTACGGGAAGAGCCAGGGACGTGGTGGCCACCAGAATAACTACAAGCCATACTGATGCGGTGGCAGGGAAGACCAGCTGACTGCATAGCTCCATTTGGATATCAGTAATCATAATTATGTACCAGATTTAAGTTGGCAAACTTTCTATGGCCTGTCCCATGTGCATCTTATTTAAAATTTTCCCCCTGGAAATCACTCTCCCGTTTACTATTTCCAAAGCTCTAGTTGTGTTAGCAGTGTGTGGAGTGTCAGAGGCCAAGCAGCATCATGGGCCTATTTTCTTACCAGGTTCCCCAGATCCAGATTGGAGGGTCTGCACCCAGTCTGCCACTCTATAGCCTGGGCCTGTGGATGATGATGTCAAAAAGTAAAACTGTATCTTAGGAAACCAGTGTCACCTTTTTTCACCTTTTAATTTTATATTATTTGTGTCATACATTTCCTATAATGGAAGTATTAATTTTACTATACTTTTTGGTACCTTTTGGGAATCTAATGTATTGTAAGGTATTTTACACATGTCCTGATTTTGGCACGACCTGGATATTGAAGCTATCAAAGCTTTTGAAATAAAAATGTAAACCGCCCCAAAAAAGAAAGATGAATCACAAACAGAACCAACGTACTTTGGATCAAGAGGTCCCTGTGATAAAAGAGGTGGTGTTGCAAAGATAGTACAAGATAGTACAAGTCTGCATGTAGAGATAGCAGACTTCCAGGGCCAATGCAATTAGTAACGCCTTTGGGCAGGAGGCTGGCTTACAAAATGTGGTACCCTTTGGAAATTTATCAACAGAGCTAAAGGAACTTTGCATCACACAAGCAGAGCAGAGGCCAAGGGGCCACGTGGCTGAGAGTGCAAGAACCACAGAGAGGCGTGCCTGCAGTACAATTGAGAAGAGGCACTCCTCAACTATAGAACTATTTTGTTCATAGTTGTTTCTGATCCTGAAATGCACCCTACTCACTTCCCTAATAAACTCCATAATCATAAGCACTGTCTGAGTTCCGTGTGTCCATTGCAATGGAAAATGAACCCAGTAGAGAGTGCCTTGGGAGAAATGACTGGTGTCAGAATAGGATAAGGAAGACTGGAGGGTGAAGGCATGTCTGACCTCTACCTCATAGGAATCAACCTTGGGCTGAGGATGGTTATACTCCTCTCAAAGGGAGAAGCTGAATGAGGTCACCCTTTTGCACTTGTTAATAAAATATTTTTGTTCTTCAAATATATTTTTTGTTGCTAAGACAACAAGGTCAAAATGAAGGAATCTTCATTCTACTTACTCTCAGATCTGACTGTTGGTCATTAGTCCTATTAAATTATGATTTATATGTACTTGTTGTTAAGTGCCTTCAAGTCGATTCCAACCCATGGCGACCCTGTATAGGGTTTCCAAGGAACAGCTGGTGAGCTTGAACCACTAACCTTGCAGTTAAAACGACTTTGCAGTCTGATGCATTAGCCCACAGCCCACATGGAAAAGACTGTGAGGATGGTGAAGAAATAGGCAGTGTTTCATTCTGTTGTACACAGAGTCACTATGATCTGGAACAGACTGGATGGAATGTAACTATAGCAATTATTAGCTAAAAAGATGGCGGTGCATAGAATTTGTTAAATAAGTGAATAAAGCAAGATTATCAAACATATTACTATATATATATATAATTATTTGTTGTTGTTGTTAAGTCCCATTGAGTCGGTTTCAACTCAGAGGAACCTTGTATAGGGTTTCCAAAGAGCAGCTGGTGGGCTTGAATTGCCGACCTAGTGGTTTGCAGTTAAGTGCTGATCCTACAGCAACAGACCATGAGTCCCTTCTACTTATATACATTTCCTCAACATAGTATTATTAGGTGACACAAAATACAACCTAGCAAATTAAAAGATTAAGTATTTACCTCGTATTCCTTTATCCAGGACAACAGTCCTGAAAAGCTAAAACTGGCCCAGTTTCCTCCATAGTAGCTTCGTCTGTAACAATAAAAAACAGAAATAGGTATGAGATACTGATTTTCATAAACAAATCAACTTTAATCTTTGAATTCTTTTTCTAATAGTGTTGCTTCCAAGACCAAAAGTGCACATAATGAGATACAGGGTTTGGAAAAAGTGGTAGACTGAAATGAAAGGGAGCCTCTCAAATCCCCAAAGTTACTTTTCTAAAGGAGTAACTGTATATATGGAGTTAAACATCACTTTGGCTTTCATACAGCCATCTCAACTGATTACATGCCACTGTTTATGTGACTATGAACATCCGGATATGAGTACTGAGTGGGTAATAAGAATATATTTAAAAGAGGAAGACTGACTGTTACTACAAGAACAAACAAGTTGCTTGCCCAGGAAACATCAAGGCAAGAGGTCGGGTCCCCTCAGTGCAAACCCCTTCCAAGACAAAGACTTGGGAATACACGCTCTGATTGGTGACCATGCTCATCACCGGTAAGGGGAAGTGAGGGAAAAACAGCAATGAAGCGGCAAGCTAAGCCCTACCATGTTCAATAGACTTCTGTGAACCGGGGTAAAGACCTGGTTGGCCAGCAGTGTGGCAAGACCTGGGGACTCTTGGGCCCAGAGTCAGTGACATAGCCACAGAGGACAAGAGTAGAGTGAAGTGTCCAGCTGATAAGAAGAGAGGGCATATGCACAACAACACCCACACTTGCAAATAATACCCACTTGACCTAGCTTCAATGACTGGATGATCAGAGATCAAGCAGAAGAAAAAAGAAGAGGAAAAAAAGAGTAATCTCATACAATTTGATGACCTTGACCTACACCTATGGATGCAGTAGCTCAAAAG